TTTTCCATTACCCTTCACATATATTTTCCATGATATGAAACTCAAATGTATCATTATTATGCAGTAAAATGCAGCTCTGCAGTATCTCTTCCTTCAAAAAGAATGCTCTTCATGGTACTCAGAATGTAAAGATTCTCCGAGGACATCATGACCTCCAACAACAGGATTCTCATGATGAGATGGTTTTGGTAGTTGACTGGAGACTGATACATTTGTTTCCCTTAACATATAGTATTCAATTACAAAGATACTGAAAAATACACATGGAAATGTCACATCATAAGGTACCTATAGAAATATTTAGGTATGTGGAGAGGGTCCTCTCAGAGGTACAATAAAACTTAGTGACCTTTTCTTGTCAAAGAGGAAAAGAATGAGTCCCAAGCTACACATTACAGGAAAAAAGATCTCTTCTACAATACACAGCAAGGAAAAGGCACTAAAAGAATACATAAGGCAAGACAACTGTTGTCAGATAAAGTGAATGCCTTTATTTGATAACATGTGACTCATCCTCCTTTTCAATCAATATCAATGACTAGATTTAGTCTTGTTTATATGTTTACATTTTTAGGAGCTCTCAGGGTAGTTGCATGCGACTTCTCTATCTTGTAAAATGGGTGGAAATAAACTTCCTTTTGTGCATGAGCTCTGGCTTCTTATTTACATCCTTACACGTGACACAGTGTTGTGTGGTGCTACTAGGTTATGTTTGTAGCCTTGAACTGTTTCTCATGCGCAAAATGATACCAGTGTTTTATATGTTTATAGATGAGCTTTAACCTTAATATGTTTCTTTCTTCATTATTTCAATAAACTATAATCTAAGTCATCTCAAAAATAGTTGATATAAAGTCTTAAAATAATAAGTTATGTGCATTTCATATTTTTATGAACATTTTTCTATTTATTACCCAAGTTGATAATTGCATCGACTCTGTGAGAAAGATGCTTATATCCTTGTTTTTTTATTAATGAGGAAACTTGAGTGCATGGAAACTTAGATATAAAAAGAAATGACTTGCCCAAGACCACAAGAAAATTAATAATAGAATTGAGTCAGTACTAGGCAAATTATTACTTCATCTATTTTGAGCATATCACTGAGTAAGATGAGGTTAGTATAAGAGGAGCATTAGTTTTTACTTCTAAATGCAGGGATTAAAATAAATGAAATTACCGTAACAGTATTAGTTCAACTTTATTTTTAAGTGATGGTCCAAAACAGGTTTTGACTCCATTTTTTCTCCTCTTCCCCATTTAGCTTTATTTTCTTATCACGAAGGTTACTCACAGCCAACTAGCCAAATGAATAGTATGGCTTGATTAAGAATCTCTCTTGTCAGTAATTTGTGCCTAATGTTTTTAGCTTTCCCATGGGCTGTTGTAGAAAATGGTAAATCTGGTTTAAATGAAACCTGATCCTGTTAATGGTTTAATAGCAGCTGCCACAGGGTTATGGCATTTTTCAACAGATGCTTCTGTTTCATTTTAAACACAAACTAAGTCTTGGAATAGTTACATAAATCATATAAAATATGCCTACGCACTTTTGGCTAAATATAGTTTTAAAAATAGTCTTAAGCAAGTCCCTATCTTTGCCTATTTACAATTATTTTGCATAGAATTTTTTAAAGAAACTAAGGCTACAATCTGTTTTAAAAAGGCTATTTTTGTTTGCATTTTTCTAAAAAAATTTTAAGGTCTGAGAATAGGCTCCATCTCTATATCCGGAAACTTGGACAGTGATTTGGTCAATCTGATCATATCATCCATCTTTATGCCTCACACTATTTATTTAGCATGACAAATTGCTTATACGATGATGTGCATTATAGTGTCAACTGAAATAAACAAGATAGTCACAAAATTAAATGGGACACTATTTTTTCCTTGAAGAGGTAGGCCTTGTAATGGTAATTCAAGCTATCATTATCCCTAGGATTATTTTTTCTGGAGTGTCATAGTTTGTTCAGCCATTTATTTAAAAAGCATTTCTTCTGTGCAAAGCACTTGTGCTGGGTACATGAATGATACAAAGATGAATGACAGGCAAGTAAAACAATGATTATGATGAAAAATAGAAATATTTATTTATACAATAGAGGTACCAGTTCAAGCAAAAAGGACTGAAAATGTAGTATACCACATTATCATATTACAGATTTGATCCCTGAAGCTTATAAAGTACAAGATCTTGAACTGACAAGGTCAAATTTGTGTTTTGTTGTTTGGGTCCCATTTTCATTGTGGTATGGTTGCTCAATCTTGGACTGGAAAGGTTACTTATGCAAATGCATCCAATGCCAAGTTTTTAAAGGCAGACAATAAAAGTACAAACCAACTTTTTACTTAACTTTAAATTATCTATAGGTATCACTGAAATGGTCTGTTTCTAAATGCAAGCGTCCTAATCTCCCTTTGTCTTAATATCTTTCCTAGGTACTCCCGCCTAAGAAAGATGTGAAACTCGGCATGGCTTTCTTATTTGAACTCTTTCTTCTTCGTGGAAAGTATGCTTGTCTCGACCAGGTTGTAGGCTGGGCAGCCTTCCCATTGTGTGATAACAACTTTAATGTAGTAGAGGGAAAATTCAAGTGTCCCCTTCTCCGAGGACATTATGACCAGAAACTTAACAACTTCAGGAAAATTGAAGATTTGATTTGCCTTGATTTGGACCACTGGCTCTGCAATCTCTATTTTCAGGTTTGCAATATGATTTCGTAAGTGAAAAAAGAATTTAAGATTTTTCCAAAAGCTGCTTTTTTTCTAGCCTTTAGCTTCCTCTCATGCTATTGAAAATTTCAATAAGTATTATAAACCTGTAAAAGTAATTTGTCTTAAGGAAAATGGTTACTTGATAAACAGCATTAGAATTACTTGATTTCAGTAAAATCTACTTGATTTTTTAACACATTATTAAAATTTTTCTTTTTTTCTCTATAGCTCCCTACTTAAAAAAAAAAAAAAAAACTTTGTCAAGAAGTAATATTAAGATTTATCAGCAGGATCATCTAGCTTTTTCAACTTAGATTTATCAACTAGGACCAACCACTACAGATAGATGGAATTGTCCACTGACATTCTTATATAATAGACAATAACAGGAATTTCTCCTTCTGTAAATTTAAGGAGAGGTGGTAATTAAATCTTATTAATGAAAATAGTACTATTATGGAAGATATACAATTTTCTGATTATAAGGTAGAATTAGTAGAAATGTTGATGTTTCTCTTTCATTAAGATGAAACAAAAATTATCATCTTGAAATCTTATTTTCCTCTTAATGTGAAATTCTAAAATATAGTCATATGCTGGTTAACAATGGGGATATATTGTGAAAATCTGTTGTTAGATGATTTTGTCATTGGACATCATAGAGCTCACTTACACAAACCTAGATGGTACAGCTTACTACACATTTAGGCTACATGGTATACCCTGTTGCTCCTTGGCTGCAACCTGTACAGCATGTTACTGTATGAAACAACAGTCATTTATGAAGCACAAGGGAAAATGATGCAATCAAAAGATGGTAAACAGAAGATGTATGAGGCTACCGCCAGCATAACACGGAACACTGTTTTATAACAATTTTTTTAATAAATGGAAAGAATACACTATAAAAATAATAATAGAAAGTGTAATATGGTAAAACATAAACCTGTAACACAGTCATTTATTATCATTTTCAAGTATTATGTACTATGCATAATTGTATTTGCTATAATTTTTTTATGACTGGCACTACAGTAGATTTGTGTGTACCAGCATCACCACAAACATGTCTAATGTGTTGCAACAAAACCTTTAAACAGCTATGATGTCACTAGGCGATAAGAAATTTTCAGCTCCATTATAATCTCATGGGACCACGGTCATATATGTAGCCAGGCTTTGACTGAAACATTATTATGCGGCATATGACTGTATGTAGATTTTTCTGATGTGAGTTTTCTCAAATGCAAAAATTTCTGAATAAATAAATATAAATTTTGAGTACTCCTTTTAGAGTTACTCAGGATAAGAATAACTTATTCTTATTCAGAAAAGATAGATAAAACAGATATCGAAACAGAAAGGTAGTATTTGCATTGCAGCCCTAGAAGAGATTAAAGGAAAAATATATAGTCAGATAAATCCTGATTATTTTCTTCCTATGTCTGTGATGGGAAGGAAATTGTCAGTCAGATATGAGCTGGCAGAGCTAGGCCACATGGTTTAGACATGAACTCACATGTTCTACCACGGTGTTTTTAGGACCAAAGCTCAGGCTAAAAATACCCTGACTGTGAATGAAGAGACTAGAGAACTACTCCAATTCAGTCCCCCATGGCATATGTGAAAAAAAATCTAAGAGAGAATGCAAGCAAAACAGCCTTTTACTTTTTCCAAGAAAATCTTTTCTATAGATTTCTCACTTTTCTGAATATTTCATTTCCTGTTACTGATTATGTCCACCAAGCACTTTATTATTCAAATTTTAAAACAGCCAAAGTTGAAAAAATTGCATAGTAAAAGCCCATATATTCACTACTAGATTTTCCACTACCATTACTTATTTTTGATTTAAAATATTTTTTCTTGGTATTAATAATGAATGAATATTTATTAATTTCATCCCAATATGACTATTAGATAAACAATGTTATTTGGAAGAAGAAATTATAAAACATTATAAGTAAGACAAAGAAAAACTAATAAACATATAGAGCAATGGCAATATCTGAGACAATTATGTCAATTGGTTAATATAAAATATGTTCACTTTTTATAACACAACCAAACAAAAGCAAATATAAGATTTGACAAACTGACTTCATCATTGACCTTTTGGATTTTGTGAATTGTATTATTCTTCCAGAGAAAATTATCTGCATGTGTAATATTTTCAACAGTTTAGATAACAGATTTATCTCAATAGGTAATTAAACTTCCTCTGTGTTTGGATGATCAAAAAACCCATGGAAGACATACTCAGCTTTCCCTTGAATTTCCAGTTTGTTTAATGGCTGAAGCGGAGAAAGCAGAATCAGGCCTGGCAAATACAACTGGACTTTCAGAGAAAGAAAAAGAAAGAAACATTTGTGCACCAATGAATGATGAAGCTAAATCATCATTATACTCTTCACAGGGTTAGTTGACATCCTCCCCACCCCCCAGTATTCTATTACTAATATTTTAAGTTGTATTATAGTACATAAAACTAGGAAGTACATTTTAATTATTAATGCATTTTGTTCTATACCATGCTGTTTAAAGAAAATGTAATCATCTATAAGAATATTAATGCTCATGTTGCATAACAATCACATAATTAAATTACTTGATGTAAACACAAATTTTTTCCATTATTGCTTTAAAATATTTTTTCAGGTTTTTGGAGGACAATTTGACTTTTTTTGGCTCTTAGTTCTAGATTTTATTTTTGTTTGCATGCTTACAAGGGTGGTAACCAACAAATGGCCATGAAAGAGAAAATGTTCTCAGAGAAAGTTTCTCAAATAATAAAGTTTATTTGTTTGTTTACAGAGATTGGTTTAATCAAGCACTAAATATTCAATTGAAATATTCAATGTACACAATTTTCAATTTAGAAAAGATATCAAACAGATTATTATTTTTTGCAAAAGAATTCTTTTATTTACCAAAAGATTCATGATAGGTACTTTAGTGGGGTACATACTCTAGCAGAAATAATAGTGTTAGTAATAATTGTAGGGGATGAATTGATAGCAGTTGCAGTAATAATAGCAATTATATTATTATCAGCATAATACTAACACTAAAAATATTACCAGTAATAATAAACACATGCATTGCATGTTTTTAATGTGCCAGGCACTGTAGTAAGCAGTTTATTTTTTATTTTTGAAATTATCAATTATTTTAAACATACTGTACAGAAAATGACACATGCACTTGCTATTTTGCCATATTTGTTTTATATCTTTAATTTCAAAAAATAACATATGTAATTAAAGCTCTCTGTGAACTGCAGCTTGATTCTATCCCAGCCCTCTTAGACTTATTATTGATCTTTTAAATGTGTATTTTAATACATTTTCTTCATACATATAAACAATGCATAATATCTTTTCTATGTGTTAACAGTTTATATAAATATATCATACTTTACATCTATTTCTGCAACTTTATTTTTTCTCAACATTGCCTTTGAGATTTACACACACACATATACACATATTATATGCATTTCTGGTTTATTGATTTTATTGCTGTATAGAATTCTTTTACATGATTGTAACAAAATTTATTTATTCTTATTTATGTTGTTTCCAGTTTTACTCTATTGAAGGCTACAATGATCATTCTTGGACCTGCACTCTTTGTATAATGGGTGTGAATTTCACTAGAGTATACGAACACTGAATCATAGCACATACACGTCCTACATTTACAGCGTAGTAACTCATTGTAATCCAAAGTAGTTGTGTTAGTTTATCCTCCTAACAGCTATGTGGGAGAGTTTCTTTGGCTCATATTTTATCAATCCTTGTTATTGTCAGTTTTGCCAGTTCGATTGCAGTGAAATGATATCTCTTTATTTTAATTAGAATGTCTCTGAATACGGGTAAGTTTGAACATTTTTTTTCATATAGTTTTGTTAACCATTTGAGTTTTATATTTTGTAAATCGCTTGTTCCTCTGCTGTGTACACTTTTCCTTTGGGTCATTTTTTTTTTTTTTTCTCATTGATTTGTAAGCATTCTGGTGCCTTCTTTTAGGTGGAACGAGTGGTGGGAAATACTTGATCTCTTTTTTTTAAATAATTTTTATTTCAGTTACAGTTGACATACAATATTACACTAGTTCCAAGTGTACAAGATAGTGATTAGACATTTAAATGACTTATGAAGTAATCACCCTGATAAGTCTAGTACCCATCTGATATCATATATACTTATTACAATATTTTTGACTACATTCCGTATGTTGTATTCTACATTCCCATGACTGTTTTTATAACTGACGATTTGCAAATCTTAATCGTTTCCCCTTTTCCACCCATCTCCACAACTCCCCTCCTATCTGGCAACCATCAAAATGTTCTCTGTATCTATGATTTTATTTCTATTTTGTTTGTTCATTCATTTTGTTTTATTTTTTTTGGATTCCACATATGAATGAAATCATGTGATGTTTGTCTTTCTCTATCTGACTTGTTTTGCTTAGCAAAATACCCGCTAGGTCCATCCATATTGCTGCAGATGGCAAGATTTCATACTTTTTATGGTCAAGTAATAGTTCATTGTGTATATGTACCACCTCTTCTTTATTCATTCTTCTGTTGATGGACACAGGTTGCCTTCATATCTTCACTATTGTAAATAATGCTGCAGTGAACCTGGGAATGCATATGTTTTTGTTTTTTAATTAGTGTTTTGAATTCTTCAGATAAATACCCAGAAATGGAATTGCTGAGTCTTTCTTTGGCTCTTGAGGCCCACACCAAGACACGTTATAATTAAAATGCCAAAAGTTAATGACAAAGAGAGAACCTTAAAAGCAGCAAGAGAAAAGCAGTTAGTTAGCTATAAGGCAGCTCTCATAAGACTGTCAGGTGATTTAGCACAGAAACTTTGCAGACCATAAGGGAGTGGCACAAAATATTCAATAATGAAAAGCAAGAACCTATAACCAAAATTACTCTACCTAGCAAAGCTATCATTTAGAATCAAAGGACAGGTAAAGAGTGTCCCAGACAAGAAAAGTCAAAGGAGTTCATTACCACCAAAGCAGTAATACAAGAATTATTAAAAGACTTCTTTAAGGAAAAATTTAAAAAGAAAGATAAAAAATATGAAAAATAAAATGGTATAATGTAGAAGCCCCAGGCCTGGAACTTGCACCTGGATTTAGATAACTGGAAGAACCACCAGGAGGACCAGAGGGATGAGAATTACTCACAGGCAGGGATGCTTCAGCAGTGGCTGGTCAAAGCTACAGGAATAAAGCTGCTGACCAAGAGCAAGCAGAGATTTTTATTCACACAAGCAGAGGGAGGGGTTATCTCATTGGGGGAGCAGCCGCCTTCTCAGATGGATGGGAGCAAGCTGTGCTGCTTGGTTACAGGAGCAGAAAACGTCCATGGGAGCAGCAGAAAACATCCTTGGGAGTAGGCACTGCTGAAAGCTCTTTGTGCATTGCCTTCTTTGGCTGCTAGCTGGGCAGCTATCAGTCTTCTGAGTATGCAGAGGGGCTTTGTTCTGAGTTAACCCTACACTCTACCCTGCCATAGCTCCTCCACCTCACATTTTTTATGCCAGTTCTTCAGGATAGAGAGCCCTGGTGGTTAGAGCATTTGTGTATTGCATCCATATATCACAAATACAATAAAGACTACATCCTAACCCTAATAGTACACACATAAACAAAGCAGTCTGTTACCAGGTAATGGCCCCAAGAGCCCAAGGAGGGCCACCACGTGGTTAAGGGGTTTGCTCCAAGTGCTGCAATATGCGAGGCTACAATTTCTGTTACAACTCCCCCCAGTCTCCTAATCATTCCTCAATCTTGAGAAAAGAGAGACAACAACTGCTCTGGCTGCTTTCTGATAAAAATTAGAGATTAGAGGAATGAAACTGTCCTACATTCAATTGAACATACCTTAGTTTTTGGTTTACTATGAATACCAAGTAGCCTTCTGCATGATTCAATTTATTTGAATCTCAACTTCCCCAGAGGTGTTACTACAGATTTAGCAAGTTGTGTTAGCCACTGTATAGATGACTCTTTTGTCTATGAAAACAAGAGAAAAACAAAGGTTAATAATCAGGGCAAATTATAAACCAGCTTCTGAGTTTGTAAGGCTGTCAGTAAAGATTTCTGGATATAAGGCTGATAGCATCTCCTGCAACTTGAAATGTCCCTGATGATGTCCTCAGATGTCAAGACAAACTCTTTGCATGGCCCACACAGCAACAGTCACCAAGATTGTTCAAACATGAGCCATTGTGACAATCTCTCGAATTTTATATCAAATTGTCCATTTTTAGCTTGCATGGCTTGAAAAAAGCAGTTATAGATTTCAATAATTCCTAGATGGGAGAAAAATTACAAATCAAAAATATGTTCGAAGAGCCATAGACAGATGGAGGAAACTAGAACAATTCAGGACCCAGTCCAATTTACAAGTAGAAAACAAAATAAAACCTAAAAAACAATGAATAGCATAAAAATGTAATGTTTACATATTTTAATTTTTATCGAAACATGTTTTTTCTTTCCTCTCCAACTACCACTATTTTTACCTAATATAGTCAAATAAAGGCTCATTCACTTGTAAAATAAGTCATTTCAATAAACTTGGCCTGATCATTTGCATTAGCTCAGCAAGAATAGTAATTAACCAGATAGGCACTTTTAATTCTGCTTTGCTGGAATTTTACAAGGAATCTTTGGATTGAACTTAAAAGGCCTCTTCAAGTCCAGAAAAGCCAAGGCAAGGACTTGCCCTCAGAGGATGCCTGCAATACCTATAGGTTTCAGGTGAGTTCTTCTCTCCCTGAGATCTCCAAAATAATCTTTAGATTCTTGCACCTGCCAAGAAGTGACATTCTTTACTCACATGGGAAGGCTTCTGGAAACCAGGCCAATATTTCCAAAGGCTTTTTTTGGCTTCCGTAAGTCCATCTTAATTCCTTAAAGTTGTTTGGTCACATCCGAGTTTCTGAATTCCTTTCAAATATGATGTTTCAGTCAGAGCCTTGGTAATAAAAACTAGTTCCCAATCATGTCCCATTATAAAGAGAACAGATTCTTATTGAACTTATGCAAATAATCACATTGCCACAAAAGTAAGAATACTTACTCATTAAAAGCGTTTGGATTCTGGAGGAGTAAGTAGGGAGGAAAAGAAATACCCTAATTCTGCATAATTATTAGCAAAACTTAGTTCTCACTATTGTGGAGATACAATTTCCTTCAGTAGCCAAAGGCCTGATTCAGACAACATAAAACATGGAAAATCATTTTGATAAAACACAGAATCTTTGTTTTCTTCAGGCAGAAACCTTTTCCATAATATTAGTAGCAGACCAGTAGTCCAAGAAACTCTCTTATTTAGCAGAGGGAGAAAACACAACTCTGATTTTGTATTAGCCTGCTTTTG